GTGAGAGTGACCTACCAGCACCAACAGTAATGTGAGAGTTACTCACCCGCTGAGCCTCCTTGACCACCCCGGAGAGCTGCGTCAGCGACATGTTAGGGCCCTGACTATCTGGTGCCACTTCGAACACTGACACACTCCAGGGCATCCCTTGTTGATGGTCACGCTGTAGTTGTGACATAATGGGGCAATATTACTTCTCCCAGCATCAGGTGCCATATTAAAAGTTTCTTCAAATAACAAGTACAAATTCATTTTAAATAAAATATTACGAAAAAAGAAACCCATTGCTCTTACCTCAGCTTTGGTCATGTCATCACCTTGCCATTGGTCTTGTAGTATCTGATTTCTTTCGCATCTCTATCACTAGCTATCAATCACGGGTCCTCAATATGCTGTCGGAGGACAGAGACTGTATTATGCTGGAAGCCTCCCATGGCAGGGGTTCCAGGGTGACTGTCTGCTGAATAATTTTCTACCTGACAAAGTTCGGGGAATGGACTGTCTAGTCGCCAGGTTTTGTCTCATGGGGAAGGGTTCCAGGCTTGCTATTTATTTATTTCTTTATTTATTTCTTTATTTATTTATTTATTTATTTATTCAAGAGTTCTTACATTCTTGTAAAGTACTAGCACGCATAGCTTATCGGTTAGGTTCTTAAACTAAAGTTTCCCCTGGAATACAACACGCCAACTGTTTTAACAACCAGGCACCAATTCACTGTTGGGTGAAGAGAGGCCTATAGTTAAGGATTGGTGCCTAATTAATCCTCCCCGGCCACAATATGAATATAGCCCAAATCGCCTGCAAAGCGTTGGGGCGAGTGTTTTACCATTGTGCCACAGGGACTGCTATGAGATAATAGAGCCCATCAATATAGATTTTAAAATGGATGATCTCCGTGATGCTCTGCAAGTGTTAGGGGTGTTCATTAGTTAGCCTTCTGGACACTATTAGGATCAGTAGTAGTATTGTCCACGTGAAATACGATGGGCCATACCCCAAATGAGTGCTGCTGTAGAGGTCCTCGTGCCTGGTATAACCCTAAGGTGTGCAGATCGTGACATGCTGTGTCTGCCAAGAGTTTGAGCATAGCTGTCTCACGTATTGTAATATAGTCTGCTGCACACCCTGCGTCAGCTCAGACCATGATACTAGCGACAACAGTTGGTGCACTTCCACTCCTCACTGCCTTTTCTGTCACAGCCTTCAGAATATGACGTTTAAAAGTTGTTCTCTTTTTCATGAGGTCCTTAAACTTGTTCACGACAACTAACCGAACTTCACTAAGGGAGCTTTTTCGGAAACTTCAGGCTCTCAGTTTATTTCTTTATATCTCGCCATGCCTTGGAACGGATCAGCAGATGCTGAGATTCCCTCACTTCTCTGACCAAGCCCTATGTTTTGATTGCCGAGGCACTAATAGGTTCTCCTTTTGAATAATCTCATCCACAGTGATGATACACATATCAACTCTGACCTGGATGAACACACCCGACCTTGGACTGATACGCGTCATCCTCCCCCCCCCCCCCCTCACCGTGGAGGATTCAGAGAATGCATTGTCCTCACACTTGCTATTCAGGAAGGACCAAAAAGTCAGATATCCCTGAAGAACATGAGTAACTCTGGTTGCATTCAAATGGAAATAAGCCATGTATCGAACAAGGATTTCAAAATGAAGCTTCATCTGTAGCGCTTCATGTCGATGATTTGCTAAGCTCTCCTAGAACTGACCATCTTTTTTTTAATTTTCCATTAATAAAGGTTATAAAACGAACTTCGTTACCATTTTAATGACAATTATGTGATGGTTTTCGAAACCTCTGTGTGTTCCGGTGATAATGGTACCAAAAGCAGTACAGTGAACATTCTAGTATTTAAGAATGCATGTTTCTTCCTTACGGAGATGCAGAACATTTCCAATTACCAAGTCAGTTCACCACCATTAATCACAGAACACTGTGAAACGTGGCTATCAGATTACGTTTCTTTTATTGTGTCATGATAAATAATCCGTGAAGAACATGACGGAACAGCGGGGCTGAGACCTACCTTAGCCAAAGTGCTGAGGGTTGAGGCGCCGTCTGTGAAGTACATGACGGAACAGCGAGGCTCCGACACTGCGGCCAACACAGCTTCTACACCACCGCTCAATAGTGCTTGTGTATCGCGACTCTCTGCCAAGCGCAATGTGTTAACGTAAGTGTCTAATATGCTTGTAATATACATAATAGGTGCCCAGAGAGGACATAGTTCAACATATCATGCTACTAGATATCATAATTACAACATAGTACTCACTCCTACAGAATGAGTCATGCAAATACGGATCATCAATAAACCAAGATTTCTTTATCTCATACCATTAAGAAGTGACATCTGCGTGACAGCAACCTGGAAAAAGGCAGCCAGCAGCAGGAGCACAAATATCCCAGCGACCATCTTTTAAGCAATCAGTGAGTACTTAATTATTGTAGAGGAAGATTATCTCAGCAACCGTCTGAATGAGCAATGAGCAAAAGAACTGTAGTTAACATCAAATTTTTGAAATCTTGTTTATATGACATCAGCAGCAATCACACCATTAAGTTTAGTGAAAAACTATTTTGATTTAAATGGTATTCTCTATTGTTTAACAAAAAAGAATCATTAGTTAATGAAACTCCTATGACTACAGATAAGAAAATAATTGAAATAACAATAATATAGCTGGAAAAACTGTCAACCCTCATATTTAACTGGGCCAACCTCGGGTCTTGAGAACAGGATACCAAGTGATCTGGCTCCAAAAAACAAACTGAGCGCACTCACCACCGATTGCGTTATCACTAGTCCATCACAACGGTGAGGCAGGGAACTGGGGAACAGACTTAGACCGCTAATCCACTTGTGTTACGCCAGTCCGGAACTGTAGCACTCGTTCACAAGCGTCTGTCTCTCCTGCTTTATTTAGGACCCTGCAGTATGTACATTTCAGTGATGTCTATTTCATTGCAGGTGGTATCCCGGCCTATACCTTTGTTAGTAGGAATTATGGTTTTTGCCTTGATAGTGTATTTGCACACGTCTTATGGTCAGGTCTGCTCATAGGCCACAGTTCCTGTCAGTTTTTCGGATCATAGTATGGTGGTGGTGGGGGTTGTTGTTAATGTTGCATGCGGGTGGGGAGAGGGTGGTGAAAGCTAGATTTATTTATTTATTTATTTATTTATTTATTTATTTATTTATTTATTTATTTATTTATTTATTTATTTATTTATTTATTTATTTATTTATTTATTTATTTATTTATTTATTTATTTATTTATTTATTTATTTATTTATTTATTTATTTATTTATTTATTTATTTATTTATTTATTTATATACAAGAAGGTACATTGGGGGTTAAAAGAGAACATAGAAATGAAGTTTATTTTACATTCAAGTAAAGCCACTAGCACGCATAGCGTTTCGGGTAAATAATATGCATTGTAGTTTGCTTCGTTGGTTGTTTATGCTAGAGGACCTTGGGATGTTGTGGGGGGGGGGGGCACTAGTGAAGCAGAAGACAGGCTGGATTGTTGGGACTGGTGTAAATAGGAGTGCAAATGGTTCTTTGTTTGCTTATCGAAATGTCTTGCGGTGGAATGATATGGTCTTTTGAACTTGTTGCAGGCTTTATGAGTTCATGGACCATTGATTGCATAGGCTCGATGAGATTGCATTGTTGAAGAGGAGGATAAATGGTTTGCTCAGGGAATCTATGCCCTAATGACGTCTGATCGTTTATATGGGGAGAAAGCATCTGCACACTTACTGGGTAAAGTAAAGTAAAGTCTGCTATGTGCTCTGCTATGATGGTGGGTATTTGTAGAGTGGATGGTACTCACTAGTACTGATGGGTTGGTGTGTTATGATCGGGAGGAGTTGGAGGGGTTGTATCGGAAAGTAGTGTGTTTCGGCTGATTGTGGGTATTTTCTTAGTTTTGACAAAATGTGTTCTGTTGAGCACAATGTACCTTTACTCTGGGAGTTTATGAATAGGGAGATTTGGGAGATTGTTTGGAGTTTAGCGGCTGGGAAGGCGCCGGGTCTGATGGGTTGCCAGTAGAATTCTATGGTTGCTTATGGGGGGTGATTGGGTCTGACTTTCGGAGGAGATGCGGAAAAGTCTGCAGCATTGTGCCCTTAGTGGGTCTCAGTCACTTAGTATTATTTGACACCTACCGAAGTCAGGGGATGTGCAGCTGCTCTCGAATTGGAGACCGGTTTTTCTCCTGAACTAGGACTATAAACAAATTCCAAATTTTTGTTGATTAGACATCTGTTGGTTTTGGGAAAGTGTATTTCATTTGTGCAGTTTTGTGGTATTCCAGGTAGGTCGATTGTTCACTGTAATATTTTGTTACGTGATGTGATTAACTTTCTTTCGGGAAATGTTGTTCCGACGGCTGTTATCAATTTAGAATGATCCGAAGTTCAAAGTCAAATGTCGAAAGTTTTTGATAGGGTGGATATGGGTTTTGTGTTTTAGGTGATGGAGAAGGTTAAGATTGCACCGTAGTTTGTCTCTTGGGTCAGAATGCTGTATAGGGGTTGCCAAAGTAGTGTCTGTATTAACGGGGTGTTCACTTTTTTACTTGGGAGGTCGGTTCGGTAAGGTAGTCCCCTGTCTGTGGTCATGTTTATTCTGTGTCAGGAACCTCTGTATTTGGCTTTGCAGTCTCATCGTACTATTGTGCCGCCAACTCTCCCGAATGGATTGCTGATCCCAGTTGTAGGGTAAGAGGATGACACGACTGTGCTTGTCTCCATGGTGGAGTTGGTGCTGATGGTACACGATGTTCTGGCTCGGTTTCATCAGGTGACGGGGGCGGTGATTAATCTGGAGAAATCTTTCATGATGGGGCTTGGTGCCTGGTGTTCTAAGCCTTCTTGAGAAGAGCGGGGGGTTCCTCGTTCCGGGTTATAGATTCGATTAGGACTCTGCATCTGATGGTGTAAATCGTATGAGATATCGTTGTGGGAGAACTGGAAAGCGGTCTCTAGAGTGGGTATTGGGGTCAATTTCGTGTCTGAATAGGTAGATATTGTCTCTGTTGTGGAGGGGTCTGCTTCTTGACTGTAAGATTCTTTCCAGTGTTTGGTATGTTGCATATACCTTTCCCTTTGAGCCGGAAGTTTGCGTTGGTCATCAATAAGGGGCTCTTTTGTTACCTGTGGTGTGGGAGGAATCACCCCGATACGTAGGTCTACGGTTTGTTTGCCAAAATCTCGAGGTAGGATTGATTTGTTGGACGTCAATCATAAGACTTTGGTAATATTTTAGTCTTTTACACGAGTCGTCTTTTTTTGGTATTTACACGAATCGTTGGCGACTAACGAGCGGTTTTTTATGTTGGGGATTAAGGATACTGACAGGTGTGACCTTTGTGGAGTGGTGGAGAATGCATATTATTTGTTCTATTTCTGCACAGTTCGGGCGAGGTTGGTGGATTAATTGACTGGCACGATTGTGCGTTTCTGTGGTTAAGCGTTTAGTATTAATGCTTTACGTTTGTTGATGTTCGCTTTTCAGGTTCCTTGTAGGAAAGTTCGCAAAACTATATTTTGGGTTTTTTCAGATTATCTTGTGTGTGGTTGGGAGGACGGAGGGGTATATGGTGGACAGAACGTTGGAGTTTTTGGACGGTCGTTTATGTTAATCGAATTGCGAATAACATTGGATGTTTAGGGAGGGTTTGGTGGATCATTTTTCTAGCAACTATGTGCATTTCGGTAGTGCATGTCGGTTACGTTGGTCAATGCGGCGTAGCTCTGTAATTAAATCATTTGCTTCATAGTGGGGCGGAATGTTATGTTGTGTTGAGTGTATGGGGATGATATGTCGGTTCTATATTTTGTTGCATGGGAATTCTACCTGTAGTTTTGCTTCTCGCTTCGTTGGGTTGATGGACTCTGGGTTCTGTAGGTTGGTTGCTGATTGTTCTATGAATTTTCTGTTTTATGGGTCTTTGATGAGTCTTGTTTGTTGTTCTTGATGTGCTTGGGTTGTTGTGATTTTGTAGGGTTGTTGTTCTACTATTTGTGTGCTAAGTATTGTCGATGTAAGTTTGTACTATACTGTTCAGGTGGAGTTTAACTGTGGGTTGTGTCTCGGGTTTCGTCTTTGCGTTATTGTTAGTCGAAGGTTATGATGGTTCTGTATAGCTGTGGGAGTTCTTTACTCCTATTTCCTCTTATGGGGATGCACACGACATGACATTTTGAGTGACTTTTCATTCCTACTGTTTTTTTTATTTTTTTTAGGGTTGTGTGCCATTCATGCGTTTGTAACTGTATAGCAGTGATGGGTGTTACTGTGACTGGGAACCTTACGGATGTTTATGGTTCTGTTTGTGGTATGTTTGCTGGTTTCCTTACATGTTTGTTTTACGGATGTGTATGGTTCTGTTTGTGGTATGTTTGCTGGTTTCCTTACATGTTTGTTTTTTCCCAATGTGGTGATTTCCTGTTGGTTCCCGGGTGCTTAATGTTTACCGGTAATCAATGTACATGTGTAGTTTACAGGGATCTGTGAGCTCCACCGGCATTGTTTCCGGTGGAGGGAAGTTTATGTTATATGGTCACTTGGGTTTATCTCTTTTCTCCGGGTTTGGAATGTAGTGTCCGTGTGTTTCATGTTGTATTATGGGTTCATTTTTATGCTACCATACCTATGCATAATCATTGTAAATACAACTTTGTGTTAGTATGTGTTATAATGTGTCATTGTAGTACCCAAGTATAATGTGTCATGTGCGTTGGAGTGCTTGTACGATTGGGTGCATACAATCCCTTGAGAGGCTTTCATGTTCAAAGATTGTGTATGGCTGAATCCATTAGTGTCTTGTTGTGGACCTGGTTGTGCAGTGTGTTGAATCTACCGTAGGCCTATTGGATTTGGTCCTGTATGCGGCACATTGTAACAATAAATTGGATTACTTGTAATATACTGTTTGGGGATTGTAGGTGTGTACGTAGGAGTCTGTGCGTGTGTGTACGGTTCTGCTCGACTTGTGTCTTGATTATTGTTTCCGTTTTCATTGTGATGTGTGAATTAATATTTGTAAATTCATATTTATTTATTTGTATTCTGTTAGTCATCTCAGGTTCTGGTTGGTGTGTGGTAGCAAGTATTTGCTAGAGTTTGGTGTATATTTATTTTTTGTACATAATTTACTTTTTAAATAAAAGAAAAACAACCTTTAGTGGGGCGAAATTATCTACAAGACACAACTTTATATACACCATTATCCATATGCATATCCACAACTAAGTAACAATCAATTGGGTCAAGGCACAAGTCAAGCGGCTAGATGTCGCTAAGTACAGATCACCTAATAACATTGGTACACTAGACAGCTTATGACTGGCTGTTAAGTTTTGAACATGGTGAGTAGTGACGTTACATAACCGGTGTGGGACACACACACACACACACACATAGGGGCCTCGTAGCCTGGTGGATAGCGTGCAG